GTAGGTAGGGAATTTGCAGGAGAATCTCAGATTGATCATGCTGCTTTTCATCTCACTAGAGAGCTTGTCACCAACTGTCCCCCTTAATTCAGAGGGATGGGAATTAATACAGTTTTCCCAGTAGTGAATCGGCTTGGTTTTATTTTCTGGATAGTGGGGGAGAAGTGAGACCAGCTCCAAAAGAACGTCTGTACTTATATGTTACAGAAAGTCATGATACTGTTTTGGTCTCGTCAGGCACCTGGACCCAGAACAATAGTGGCTCAGAGAGTACTGTTACTATCCTGAGAGGCTGTGAGTTTGATTTCTAAACTTGGTTTGCACCTGTAGCTTTGCTGGAAGCAGCATCCCCATTGGATATAAGTACTGCCTCCCCTCCTATAGGCTTGGAGGTACTTCCCTTCCACCATGGCTTCTCTGGGGGCATGGAGCAGCGTTCACTAACAAGATGGCTACTCTGTTAATTAGCCAGAGGAGATGACTGGCTCCATAGTGTCCCCATATTGGCTAACATAGCTCAAGACCTGAACTCTGATCCACTACAGCACTGAGCTGCCCAACAATCTAAACTGAAGTTGATCTATTTTATAGCAAGAGTAGTCTTGAAAATTCTACTAGTGTGAGGACTAAACCTACCTCTCTTGTTCATAGAAAATACAAATGTGGGAGGGCCACCCATCTCCAAAAGGATTAAACTCAGTCCCTCCACAGTATACTTTCTGCCCTACTAGCTTCTTAGGAACTAGGTTATGGGACTTCTAATAGGGTGCTGCCCCTGGGTTTTCATGTGGCTCTGGTTAGTAGGCATCTGCAGCTTGACCCGTTAGCTTTCTGAGAAGCTGTTTTGTCTATTCAATTCCAGAGCCTCCTGACTATTGTGAGGGGGATGGGAGGGAGGGAGAAGCTTCTGCTATTCTACCATTTCCCTATCTACTTTTTGTGGGGTGGGTCCTCCACCTTCAGTTAATGTTAATGTTTAAATATGAAATTGACTTTGACAGTTCCTTGTTTGCAGGTGGTCCGTTTTACCATCTCTTTTCAGACCTAAATAGTGGTACTTTCAGGCTGCTTCTTTCAGGCTGCTTCTTCTCAGACACTAAACTGGCAAAATTGATAAGGCAATGCAATTGGCTTAAAGGTTATTTGGGTCACAGTTTATGAAAACTTAAACTCTACTGGAAATGGCAACTTGAATTTCCCGTATTCACCAGAAGATCTTCTCACTGGTACATAAATTGTTCGAGCTATGGCTTAATTTTAGATTATTGCACAGTAAGTTAAAACTATTCTCAAGAAGTAAAATAACTATCTACTTAAGCTATTTAGGATTACATGCCACTTCCTCCCCCCTCTCCTCCTCTCCCCCCCCCCCCCCGGGAAGAGGGATGTGGGCAAAGGATTTTTACATTACAAAAATCTAATCCTGTCACTATGATGATAGTTGCAGTATATGTCAACAAGAAATTTACATTCAGCCTGCATATTAATAGGGTGAGAACAGTTGAGGAGGAAGATAGCTTTCTTACCAGCTGGCAAAATTTTGCACACTATACCGCACACTTTATCAGGGCAGAAAACAATTTCACAAATGACTTATTGCTACTTTACAGAAACCACTTCTTCCCTGCCTTCCCCCTCCCGCACCCCCCTTCTCCCCAACAAAAAAACACAACCAACCACCTCATTCCAGGGCTTAAATTCTTTGAGTATTTGCTGGATCCTCTCCCTGTGTGCTCCCCCTCCCCATGCTATAAAAACTCCAGGATGGTTTAAAATATTTAGTGGAGCTCTGCTCTGGACAGCTCCATCTGGATTTCAGTAACCCTCCAGCTTCTCATGTGCATTCTGCTTACCCACTGAAACAAGAGTAAGCCTTGCAATGGCATTCTGTTGTAGAGAGTTGCTGAGTTTTTAACTCAGTGGAGGTGCATTGTGTAACTTATGTATCCAAAATAAAAAGGGTTTAAACTGATGCTATAAAAAGTGCTGATTGCTTTAGTTATCAGACTGCTCATACAGCTGTTTTGTTGTGCAACACAGTCTGCAAGCCTTAGTTCTATCACCCCATGCTATCATTTAGCAACCTGGCCTTTCCATCAGAAACGAAGCCAGGGAATTATACCAAGTTTTGCTCTAGCTAAGAGGCAAGTGACTGTCTACACTGTGGTGTCTGTTTTGTCAGCTGAGGGCTTGAAAGCTTAGATGCAAAAAACATGTGTACCAGGTAATGCACGCTTGCAGGAATAGAAATAATTAGCTCAGTTTTAAGAGGCTGTGTTTGTGATGTGATTTGGTTGGTGTGGAGTCTTTCCTCTTTGAGATTAATTTATTTAGAACTGATAAATCTTAATGGAATGAACACACTCTTTGCTGGATGGCTAGGCAGATTGATTTATCTAATGCAGGGGTTCTCAGACTTTTGTACTGGTGACCCCTTTCACATAGCAAGCCTCTGAGTGCAACACACACCCCCCCATATATAAAAAAAGTGTTTTTAATGTATAACACCATTATAAATGCTGGAGGCAAAGCTGGATTTGGGGTGGAGGCTGACAGCTCGTAGCCCCTTATTACATGGGGGGGGGGGGGGCTACGAGCTGTAATAAAAAAAACAACCCTTAGTGTGAGAACCCCTGATCTAGTGGTTAGCCTCTATTTGTTTGGTATCTGTGGTGAGGAACAAGAACTACATACAAAGAAAGCAGAGGCTGAGTAGGTTAGCTGGTAGAGAGACAGTGTGTTGTTTTTTTCTCTCTATTAAAAAAAAAAAAAATCATTCAGCTGGGGAGGGAGAGCAGGCAAGCTTACTGTGCTTTAAAACCTTATTAAAGGAACAGCAGTGTTTGACACCAGTGGCAACTACTCAATTGTTTTCAAAAACCTTTTATAGTTGAAGACTGGAGATGCATAAGCTCAAAAATGAACAAAAGCTACATCCACATGTAGAAAGGGGGTGCCTGATGAATCTTTAGGAGGCGGGTAGAGTGCTTGCAGAGGTAGCACCTCTCCAGCCCGGAACTCCACTATAACCGGCCAGTTCATGCCTCCAACCAGGTGTGTAGGGCGCCAGGTAGCGGAGATCCCCTTGGGGCAAGCCCTATCTGTGAGCAGGGCTGGCTTGGCAGGTTTAGGACCCCCCAAAAAAGGAGGCCTAGGTCTTGAATGCCGTGATAGGGTTTGGATAATACCTGTAACATGCCTTGCACGTTTCAGATTACAAGCCTGCGCAGCCCTTGCCTCATTCTCCCATCAGCCCAAGAATTGCGTGCCCCCCCCCCAAAAAAAATTCCACCCCTTCCTCTCACTTACTACAATGCCGGGTGTTGCCCCCGATTTAGGGAGCGACAGGCAGGCGCCGCCCCCGCCCGGAGCTGGGGGCCACATCCCTGCGGGAGCACGGGACACTTCACCCCTTGGTACTACCTGGGGGGGGGGGGGGAGGATGGAGGCGGGGCGGGGGGGGTCACCTTCAGGGATCCGCGGCCCTGGCACAGGCAGGGCCCCGGGGAGCCCTGCGCGGGGAAGGAGTGCACCCCCCCCCCCCTCAGAGGTGCGCTCCGGACCCCCCACTTCCCGGAAACGCTGTCCCCTGTGGTGCGGCAGGGGGGGCAACGGCACCGGAAACGCCCCCTCCCCGCCCGAAGCGCCCCTCCCCGCCCGAGCGGAGGTAACGGCGGGGCGGGGCCGTGGCCGAGCGCCCCGTCCCGCGGGGAAGTGCAGCGCGAGCCGCCGCCTCGGCGGCGCCCCTTTCCCGCGCTCTGCCCGGCGCTGAGGGGAGGGGGGCTGCCCCGCCCCCATCACATAGTGGGAGAGGTGGGGGCGGGGGCGGGGGCAGGCTGCCCCGCCTCTCTGTTTTCTCCCCCCCACCCCACCCCGCGCTTTTCCCTCAGCCCTGTGCGGGGCTGGGGATTGCCGGCCCAGGGGTGTTCCCAAACAGGCACCATGCCCCGTACCACCTCAGCCCTGGGGCTCCCTCCCAGCACCGGGGCCTGCAGTCGCCGCCCGCTGCACTCGTGCCCCCCCCAGGGCTGGCTGGGACCCTGCCTGCCTTAGGCCCAAAAGCCGCTGCTGGGGCTGTTAACCCCTATAGGTCCTCAGTGGGGGGTAGACAAGGGTCAGGAGTGTTTTTAGCACCCTGCTCTGACCGAGATTTAACGCCCCCCCCCACCGCCCCTCCCGTGTCTGAGGGGTAGCCTTGCTGTCTGTGCCTGTTTTAAACAAAACAAAATAAAACACAACCCCTGGCTTGATTCAGGCTGGATAAAGTAACCAGGCAGAAGCCTAAGGGCATGCTCTGCATGCAGATGGTAACAAAGAACTCGGGTATTTTAAGGAGTTAACTGTCTAAAGACACCATCTGTATTCCAACATCTCACGCCCCCCCCCCCCAATTGCTAGCCTAAAAGTCACATTTCTGTCTGAATCTTTTTTTACCCTTCTATTGTTGAGAACTCTTGTAAAATTACTGTAAGTGAAAGATTAGAGAGGAAATCTTCCCATTCCCCACCTTCACTTTGTGCATTTGACCCTGCTTTTGACAGCAATTTTGCTGTTCCTCCCCCCCCCCCCCCCACACATGTAATCAAATCAGTTTTTCTTCTTTTTAAGAGACCCATGTAACCAACAGTGAGAAAGCTACACAGGGATAGAGGTAAGAATGAGACCTGTAATAGAGACTGGAAGTAGGGGAATGTGATTTTTTTTCTCTTTCCCCCATAAAAGTCTCTGGGAACTGATCAGCTTTCTAGGTAAGGATGGCTCTTTTTAGAAACCCTCCATGTGTATCATTTTTGCTTTCTCTGACCTTTTCATTTTTATGACAGTTCAATGTATGTAGAGGGGTGGTTCTCCCTGCTCTAGATGTACACAAAGACTAAGTGGCTTTCCACTAATAACTTACTCCCAAAAAAGAACAATTGAATCTGCATATATAATTGCTTTTAGGTTAATATAGCTCCTTACTAAAACAGTTTTTTCTTTCCCCTTCCCACCTTTGATAGATCTCCACCTCTCTGAAGCAAAGGAGTATGTAAGAAAACATCAGCTTGGAAGTGTACAGTTTATTTCAGCTAAAGATGGTGCAGAGGAAAAAATCTGCTCTGCAGGTGTTGTCCTTTAAATGCGTCTGCATTCTTTCACTCCTAGCAAAATGGCTTTTAGATGACTTGTGAAATCTGTGCACATAGCTGACATTACACGGATACTGTACAAAAGACAACATGCATTCCAATGGACATCTCTTGTGAAAGGGAGTTTCTATGCTTTCAAATGAAAAGAACACCACCCTAAATACACTGATCCTTAACTGGAACAAGTATTAAAGGGACTGCATCAGAATGTTTGTTAGTGCCAGGAAAGTCAGAAAATGCCAGTTTGTGCAGATACTTGCCACTTGCTTTGTATTGTCTCTCATGATTTTCTGGACACCACTTGATAATCATATTGTGAGCCACATGAAGTCCTATTCTTACAGATACCTCATAAATAGCTACAACTTTGTGAATAATAGCCTGTCCGTTAGCAGGGACAACTTGGACAGGGTAGCAAGATACCAATATTTGATCAACCACAAGGAGAAATGTCAACAGCAAGAGGTCCTCCTTCTATTGTTTGTAAAGACTTCTCCAGAAAACCGGCATCGGCGAGATGCAATTCGACAAACCTGGGGTAATGAGAAATATGTACATTCTCATCTTAACGCCAACATTAAAACTGTTTTTGCTTTAGGACGACCAACAGATCATATGCAGAGAGCACAGATGCAAAGAAAACTTCTAAAGGAAGACCAGAAGTATAATGATTTGATCCAACAAGACTTCTTGGATACTTTTCACAATCTTACCCTTAAGTTACTTTTGCAGTTTGGATGGGTGAATGCATACTGCCCACATGCCAAGTTCATTATGTCTGCAGATGATGATATTTTTATTCACATGCCAAATCTTGTTGCATATCTCCAAAGTCTAGTGGAAATTGGTATTCAAGATATCTGGATTGGGCGTGTCCATCGTGGAGCTCCTCCCGTGAGAGATAAGACTAGCAAATACTATGTTCCATATGAAATGTACCAGTGGCCTTCTTATCCTGACTACACAGCTGGAGCCGCATATGTAATATCAAGTGATGTAGCAGCTAAAGTATATGAGGCTTCACAGACCCTTAATACAAGTCTTTATATAGATGATGTTTTCATGGGTCTCTGTGCCAATAAAATGGGAATTGTACCACAATATCATGTATTCTTTTCTGGGGAAGGAAAGGCTCCATATCATCCCTGCATCTATAACAAAATGATAACCTCCCATGGACATGTGGAAGACCTTCATCATCTTTGGAAGCAGGCAACAGATCCAAAAGTCAAAAGCTTTTCCTCTAGATTTTTGGGTAGACTATATTGCAAAATAGTTAACATTATGCTTCTTTGCAAACTACACTATGAGGACACGTATCCCTGTTCAGCTGCATTTTCCTAATACTTGAATATCTGCATAGAGATTCACTGAGCCAAAATGGAGTGACAACTTTTAACTGTTTATCCAATATATACATAAGTGAACATGAAAAGAGGTAAGATTAAAATGTGAATAGATCCCAAATTATTCTGCTCAGGAACTTCATCAGAATAACTCTCTATTGCTGTGTTAGTTTCCACATACTGCACCCTGTATTTTTACACTCCTTTTCAAGGGATTTAAGTCTTGAATAGATATTAACTGATTTCATTTTTTTAGATATTGAAAAGCCTGTGAAAAGTAATTGAACTTGGGAGTACAGAATTTGTCAATAACCCTTGTTAATTGCATTCTTCCATTTGAAAAAGAGTATGTAAATTAAGGCACATGGTTTCAAGGCAATGACTTGCAGTTGATGCGCTACTTAAACATCCATAAATAGCCCTTTCCAAACAAAAGGAAATGATAGTTCTGGTACCATGAGTAGAAGAGTAGGATGGCAATTTAAAGTCTGAGTAAACTAGTCAAATGGTCACCATTTCTGTATACAGTTCAGCAAAATGACTCTTTAAAAATCAAAATAATCCACAAATGGTGCTAGAGGTGAAAGCTTGCTAAAACATTTTGCTCTCTTGAGGTTACGTAAATCCTGCACAACATTTGGGTGGGGGGAAATGGCATTCATACTGTCCTTCTAACTGGTGCTTTCAGGTAATACACGAGCTCTGTTTAGAACAGGAATTTACAGGAAGGTACATTAATAACTTCTGCAACACTACTTCAACTACAGCAACATTTTGAAAATTAAGTAACTTTTTTTTAAATCTGAAAACGCTTTCTGAAGTGGTATTTTTAAACACTCCAGTCAGTCATTGGTAAACTAAGAGCATGTGTATTGAGTATGGCCTTCCAGGTGTCTCTTTCAAAAATACACTTCTGTCTCCCTAGTTAATTTTCAAGAGGGAAGACAAGTTAAACTTCTCCATTAAATAACTCAAGGGAAGTCTGTCATAACGTAGTTAGTTCAGATTATTCAAAAAGTTGAAGAAGCCAAATTTGTGCAAACATGAGCACTAACAGAGAAAGATGTGAGGAGCTGAAAGTAAGGGTAGACTGCACAAAGAAGGGATAGGGTGAAATATTGATTGTAACAGGTAAAGATGCAACATTTATTAAGAGAATTACAAAGAATCCACTAAATTGTCCTCTCTTAATCTAATTGGTTTCAAGAACAGATCTTTGTCTTATGGCCATGTGAAGAAGTCCGTGTCAAAATAGAAAATCTGTATCTTTCTCTTTAACCAAATCTATTGCATATGTTACTCTTGCCTCTTTAACATGAGCAAAAAGCTTAACCTTCAGTTTACAAAGGCTAGAAGTAGGTGCTATTAAAACCCTGACCACCACCACCACTGTTTGTAACCTGATAGTTCATAACCATGTCCAAAACCTCTAAAACTGAGCTCTGGGAGAAGGACTCAATGCTCTTCTTATCAGTCTGGTTGTAACAATGTTTCCGTGTACTTTGTGGACAACTATTTGTTAGTAACTCTAGTAGCCAAAGCCACAGTAGCTGTTTGGATACTGATAGATGTAGATGCAAGTGGTGTTTGTCTCTTATTTTGAGAGCTGTTTGACATTGGTATGAGTTCCAATGTGAACAGGGTCATAAAATCACTTCACTTCAGAATGCTTGAATTCAAATCTTCATCCAGTGGCATAGCAGCAGAAATGCAAAACAAAGGCTGGAAATGATAATGAGTCTGTCACTTTTTAAGTGGAACTTTGTCATGTTCTAGGAGGTGGGCTCTTCAACTCCAAGAGAGGTGCTACTTGCTTTCTAAGAGAATATCCACACTAGCCTTTTTCCCCAAATTTCCCAGCACCGACAGACCAACAATGCTGTAGATGACCATGTGGGAGCACTAAAGTAGACCAGTCACCGTATTTAACTCTAGCTTTGCTCAGAGCAGGTCTAGATGATATGCTCACTTACAATGCAGGCAGCTGTGTGCACCTTCTTGTTTAAGCTAGTGCTCGCTCTATTGCCACCATCTGTAGGGCTGCATCAGTGGTAGTACACAGGCATCTTGCGGGAGGGGGGAAAGGCTAGTGTCAACAAGATCCAGGAGAGAACTTCTGTCAGCTGGTTATTGGAGCATGATTGATATTTGCCTCTATGCAAGCTACTCTTACTCTTCCAACTGGGATAAGAGCTTGATATCTACTAGAATTAAGTGGTTCTCCAGAGTGAAGGGGTAAGGAAACCACTGGACTGACCATAGTTGGATCCAGGTGTTGACTATACAGAGAAACCTACAAAGCAAGACTTAGTCTATTACCACCAATGCAAAAGTGATGGCTGTAAAATGAGAAATTTATCCTATCCTGCTGGATAATGTTACATAATTCTTCAGCTCTAAAATGTTTACAGCAAAACAAATCCAGTTAATCCATGATCTTAAGAGGTTGACTTATACTACTCAAAACTAGTTTTGCTTAACCAATGTTGAAGTTAAATGGCAAAATAACTAAAATATTACAAGTTATAGATCTAAATTCCTGAGAAATCTAAAAATACATTGCACTGTGGAAATACTTTTATAACTGGTGGAAATTTTTTTGATTGCACTAGCCACTTTGAATTGACAATAACCTGTGGCAGAAATGACCTGATAGAAATCCCAGCTAGTATAAAATAGTTTAAATGCAGTATGCTTTTAGAGTATACAATTAAGACCCCAATCCTGCAAGCAAATGTAGAGATTAACTTGACTCACGTGAGTAAAGTTAAGCATATACTTACATGTTTGCAAAATTGGGGCTTAAATTAGCATCTATAACTTGTAATTTTACTTTACTTTAAAACTTAATCTGCCATTGGGTGAAAAGATCAGTGTCCCTCTTGACCATTGAAATGCTTTTGTTTACAGCCGGTCTGTTTTGTTAGGAATATTCCTTATCTTAAAAAGGACTTTGTTTGTAATTTGGCTTTTTATTATGATGTTTTGCTGCATATTAAGAGAAAGTGTTTATAAATTTGAAGAAAATATGATGGCACTCCTTTCAAAGAATGGAGAAGCTAGAAAATTTCTTAACCTTTTGGCTCTAAACATTGACTTAAAATTTGTACTCCTTCATTTAGGTTTTTTTTGTTTTGAGAGAGAGGCATGTCAGTGCTCCAATGCAGGGCTTTCATGTTTTATTTTCACAATTAAAACATGCACTAGCCTGAATGGTCACTTCTTCTCAATTAGCAGTTTTGACATTGTTGCACAAAATGTTTAATGCTGAAATTGTTTTTACCTGTTTGTTTGGTTTGCATCAAGTTTCCTTTGATATTGCTAATTTTTATACAAATATTTATTCTTGAAACTTTTTGGTCTATCACAAAAGACAATTGTTTTTGTAAAAATTTTCTGTTTAGAATAAACAGGTTTTGTGTAGTGTTTTGTTTTTAAGCTGGTAAACCTTTTTGGCTTTCAGAATTGCCCTTCTTGTACCTGACATCCTCAGCTTCCGTGCTTTAAAACTGAATTCTGAATACACCGTTTAGTCCCTTCTTGAGAGAAGACCTGAACCCCACATTAGTATGTGCTGGGTTTTATTGTTGTTGTTTTTTGTCTTTTTTTTCCTCTGTTTAATGTGTTGGCCTTTTTAACTTCTCCTTTTGGCGTGTCATCTCTGATGGAACACACACACATCTTTTTGCTCACCCCTGAGATCCCATGTTGCATTTACCTGTCTTCCACTGGAGGACTCTGTGGAAGACTCCCTTAATGATCCAGTGATTTGGACTTTGTGTTTCTTGTTAACTGACAAGTGGGATTGCTGTTCAGTTTACAATAAGTTCCCTCCCTAAGATCTGAAAGCTCCCCCAGCTTGCTTTCCAACATTAACTTTTTCTACAACTTTCTTTTATGGAACTCCTCAAATAGTTGCTTTATTTTAAACCCACACAGAGACCTTCAGTAAGAGAGGAACAAATGAATGTTCATATTTGGCAGATGACGACTTGTTCCTCCCAAATGGAAGTTTTAGGTGTCAGTGAGGTAGGTTCTTCAACTCCAGGAGCAGTGCTATTTGCATTCTAAGAGAATGTCTCTGTTAGCCTTATTGGGAACAGATAAAGTTAAAGATCCACATTACTGCTAACCTTCAAAAGTGGTATCCCTCTCAATACTAGGAACAAAATTAAGTTAGTTTTGAAAATTCTTTAAAATTGCTGTTTATGGAACTAGTTTAGAGTATCCACACTATTGCTTTGTTAAAAGTCTCTGCTGCTCTAACTTATTAAATCTATATTCAAGACTGCTACTTGTCTTCTAGAGGCTTGAAGATTTTAATATTAGTTTTAAGAGATGTCAATATTTTTAACTCACTACCTTTTTTTAAAAAAAACATTTTTATTTGATAAAACTCCCATTGACTTCTGTGGAAGTTAGGAGCCTAAATACCTTTTGAGGATCTGGGCCTGTGTCCTGAACCTTTTTTTGGGGAAAAAAGCTTCACATTTTTTTTTTCCCCCCTAATCCACCTGTTGATGATAAGGATCTTTTTAGTTTTGACATGCATTTTAGTTTCTCCCTTGCTAATGGATTATATACTGGAAAACTGACAGCATTTTGTATATAAATTAAACTAAATGAAAAGAAAATAATGTTTTTAACTTGAGGTGTTACAAGTAATAATAGTAAAGGCAAAATTCAGCCAGAAACATGGCTCTTCAAGTTGAATATCTCACATTCACCACAGATAACTTTGTCATACAACAATCTTAAATCCATATTATTTGTGGATTGGGTTTGCAAATCTGAGGAGAGAAAATAATTGAGAAAACAATCTCTTCTACAGTTCTGACTCACGCCCATCCCCAAGATAAGCATCTGACTAGGAGCTACGAACTTGGAAATGACATCAGTTAATATAGGTTCATTTCAAATAAACAAATAACCCTTACACCTTTTAAAATCTGCTGCCTTTATAATGGTATGGGCTTCAAGAACAGTGCATCTTCAGCACCTGCAATATTATGTACATGGAAATCTAGGCTTTATTTCCTACGCTCTACTGTAAAAACTTTTGTATTGAATAGTAGCATTTTTAACAGAAGTGACTGTGTGAGGTAGTAATAAAATGCCCACATACAGTAGAGAGGATTGAAAAATGCATATGGAATATAAACCTGACTGTCTCCAATAAAGTTTCAATTCAGCACACCCACTTAATGTTTCACAAGAAACATACTAAAATTACTTTTCAGATTAAATATTTACCTGTTTGTTTTTTTAAATCTCTCACAAATCTAGGTTAATTGCTATGAATTGCCATTAGACAATTTTGTATGAAGATCTAGAAGATATATGGACAATGAAGAGTCAAGGAACTACACCAAGAGGAAAACAGAGGGAAGGAGGGCTGGATCAGTTGAATTTTTTTTATCCTAGATTTAATGAAAGTAATTCTATTTCACATAGAACTATTTGGTTTTTTTTTTTTTACTGTCTCCGTGTGGTCTGTATTCAGGATCATGCACTCAAACTTAATTCCAAGTTTATTTCACAAGTCTTCCTAAAATTTAGAGACCGCGAGCCATTACCATATGCACTTTAAAAAAAAAAAAAAAAAAAGGCCACATACCTTTGTTTCCTGGTCACACACAATCTTCTCTTACTAAGGAGTTATTTAAGCCCATGATACTTTAAGATATTTATATGTAAACTTCTTGATGATGAATATGCAAGCTCATTCTTAGTTAAGACCACAAGTGCCATTTTATATAAATAATAATCCTAACTTTAAATTTAACTGATAAATGCAAAATGAGCCTCCTTTAATTACAAAAATATACTCTCCCTCATACCTTGGTTTTGATGACTTTTCTTGGGCAGAATCCCAAATGTGTTTTAATATGGTGGGTGACTGACTGTCCTAATGGATGATAAATCTAGTCTTAGAGAAAACACGTACTTTTGAGAGATGTACTATCCCTGAATAAAAAAACCTGCCTTCTATTAAGGCAAAAGGAAAACATTACTTTCTGTCACTAACAAGACTCCTCTGCATCCTTACCTCCTCCTAGTGGAAAGATTCTCCTCACTTTCACTCATCACCAGGACTCTGCTGGACCCACCTTGACTGGCTTCGTGCATCACTTCAATCTGAATTTAAAATAAATTTTAAAAATTAAATGGTTGTAATTTGCTGACTGAAGGCTCGCCTTTCAGTTGCTTTTTAAAAAGCAAAAAAGGCAGAATTTGACACTATATATTTAAGTAAATCAATTGACAGCTTATATATTTAACAACTTTGACTTCAATAATTAATGTATGCGTGTTTTTTTTTTTTATTTAAAGCTAACTTCTTACATTTTCTAGAACATTTTATAACCATATGTATTACCTGTTTTGGCTCTGAATTTTTCCATTTATCCTATTGTGAGGAAAACTACTCTTGATACCAGAGACATTCTTGGCTTCTTATAAAGTTTTTATAATCTTCATTCTTAGCTCATAACATATGAGATCAATGTTGTTCTTATATCGGGAGCAACTCTTCATACTTATCTGCCTTGAATAGGAATATCACAAACTTAATTCAGCATTTTATGGTTGCTTAGCATGTTATTAGGCATGGTGGGGTTTTTGTCTTGCCTGAATGACGTTCCCGTTCTTTAACTGAATGCAGTTTAGTTTGTCTTCAGATTTCAAAATTTATATACAATGCAGTACAGTGAATTCCAAGGAATTATGGGCTTTCTTGTTCTTTTTGGAACGTTTAGAATCGTTTTGCCATTCTTTTGATGATGATGATATTATTTCAGAGGCTTCTAACACCTTGGATTTATAAAACAGGAAAGGGTGGATACTGAAATTATCCATGGTTAAGCATTGCACTGTCAATGATCTTTCAGTATTTAACACCATGAAGTAGCTTTTATACAGTGTAGATAAATATCAAAATACTTTTTACACAAAATAGCTTGGTAATTCTCTCATTGGCTTCAGTGGAAGCCTGGGGTTCTCTCTCCTTTTCTGGTTCTGAAGACATGGGCCAAAACTTGCTTACCTTACTCTCAAAAGTTAATCCCCCTTAAACTGAGTGGGACTATTCCTCCTGTGAGCAGAATTTGCTCTTTCAGTAGTGTCTTCCATGAAATTCATTCTAGTAATTTAATCTCCATCCTTAGAGGTTTTTAAGGCCTGGCTTGACAAAAGTCCTGGCTGGGATGATTTATTTGGGGTTGGTCCTCCTTTGAGCAGAGGGTTGGACTAGATGGCCTCCTGACATCTCTTCCAACCCTAATCTTCTTTGATTTTATGGTCCCTGCCCTGAAGAGCTACCTTACTAATTAACTGAGATGAGAGAAAATAGGACAGCAGTTCAGGTAAGGGAGTGTTTGGGAAGACCACTAAAGGAAAAGTTTAGGAAGATGTGTATGTTAAGGAGCCACTCAGAGGGGGACCATGTACTTAGCAAACAAAAAGTGATGTCTTATGAATATAGAGGATCACAGGAGAGGGCATGAAGCTGAGGTGAGGGAAAGGACTGGAAAAAACAGATGGCTGTCCGCAGAGTAATAGTTAATTATACTTGTATATTGAGCTAGATTCAGGGAGAAGGAATCTTCCCTTTGCTTAGTATCCAGCTTTTTAAAATTATGTCTGGTCAGGAGTGGGAGAAAGCTCCTTGATGCAAATGAACTTACTCCTAGTGCCTTTCACCTTTGAAAAAGTGAGGTCATAGTGGTGAGCCATACTTTTGCCTGCCAAGTAATGGTCTGGGGAAAAAGAAAACAAGAACTAATCCAGGGGTCGGCAACCTGCGGCATGCATGCCAAAGGTGGAACGCGAGCCGATTTTTTTTAAACTGGCATGCTGCTGCCAGCCAGGGTCCCGGCTGCTGGCCTCACTCAGCCTGCTGCCTGCCTGGGTGAACGGAAGCCCAGGCCCGTAACAGGCTGAGCAGGGCCAGCGGGTGGGACCCCGGCTGGCAGGAGCTGGCGGACGGAAGCCCCGGGCCGGCAGCGGGCTGAGCGGTGCTGGCGGCCGCGACCCTGGCTGGCAGGAGCTAGTGGAACCCCAGACCGACAGCGGGTGAGCCACTGACGGTCTGGGGTATTGTCTGCCGCCCAGCTCAGCCCGCTGACGGTCTGGGGTACCAGCCACCAGCCCCTTGCCAGCCAGGGTCCTGGCCATTGGCCCTGCTCAGCCTGCTGCCGGCCTGGGATACTGGCCCCGCTCACCTCGCTACTTGTCTGGGGTTCCAGCCGCCTGACCCCCTGCCAGCTGGGGTCTGGGCCTCCGCCCTGCTCAGCCCTCCTGCCGGCTTGGGGTACCGGTAGCCAGCCCAGGGCTCTGCTCCTGGCCTGGGCCCAGAGTTCTGCAGCCCTGATCAAAAATGACACTACAATTAGCTTAAAAACTTAAACCTTGTATATTACAGTAATCGTTAAATTATAATAATACATAGGTTTGATTAAACAAAGTAGTTGTACTTATGTGCCTGTGCTTAATTGGTGTTTTGATCATTTACCTTCTAAAAAAAAATCTCTCATGTCGTGCACCCCCAGGAGGGGCGTCATGCACCCCGAGGTTAAGAACCACTGCACTAAACTAATAAGATGTGCATTTTAATTTAAATTTTAAATGAAGCTACTTAAACATTTTAAAAACCTTGTTTACTTTACATATAACAATAGTTTAGATATATAATATAAACTTAGAGAGACCTTCTAAAAACGTTAAAATGTATTACCAGCACACAAAACCTTACATTAGAGTGAATAAATGAAGACTTGGCACACCACTTCTGAAAGGCTGCTGACCCCTGAACTAATCCAACAACTAACACCCCATGAATGTGAGTCATGCCACTTCCTAGGAGCATTGCAACAATGCAGCTGCATGACGACTCTAGTAAGTGTCCAATAAGAAGCTGCAGTTTGTGGGTGCAGCAGGAAGGAAAGTTTTTGAAATACTGTATATCTGGAAGGCAGATCAGAGGCAAGAATGGACTTAAGAAGAAAAAGTCAGTTAGAATGACATTCAGAAGTTAGTCATTTTCCTCTAGTTACAAAACAATGGCATGCTAGTGTCACCTCTTGCCTCACTAACAAAACTATTTTTAGATTTGTCAGAGATGGATGTATATATGGTCCAAAGTACAAAGAAACATTGCCTGATATGGAGAAATGGGACAACTGTGATTAGACTCACCCTTTTAGGGGCCAGGCTCAAAACAAGATGAACACCACCAGCAGCCCCCTCTCCTGCTTTTCCACTGCCTTCTGAACCCTAGCTGTCCTTGTGATTTTCCTCCTCCCCTGACCCGCCTCCATACTTTTTAGGTAGAGTCCAACAGTTAATGGAGAAGTAGATCAGCAAAGAAGGTAAACATTAAATTGAAAAGTCCTTACCTCCCAGTAGGCAGAGCTTTGTACAGGCAACTTTGGGCTAGTTGTGTATAGAGTGGGCTTATATTGACAATTTTGATTCTTTAATTGCCATGTAAAATCTGAAGTGAAGCCTAAGGATGTTGCTTGGCTGTATGATGTCTTAGGACAAAGTAAAGATAGACATGGACTAGTCCACATAGCTTGTTGAATCCAGTACTAGCGGAATCTACAGCAGAAAGGAGCCACCTTTCTAATGCATTTGGAGGGATGGTGGTTTTTCTAGATTTTAGTTTGAACCCAGCAGCAGGCATCTCTTACTTGCCTGTTCAATCAGGCTCTGACATTCTCTTAAGTATAAAGTGAGAAATTTTAGCTGAGTTATTTATTCAGTGAGTACCCAAAAGTGTGCGAGATACAATATAGACAAACTAAATACCATCTCTGCTCCAAGCAGATTGCAATCTCAGAAGCAAAAGGACACTGAGGGAAGACCAAACATAGGAGAAGGGCACTATAGGGGAATGGGTCAGTGTTACAAAGCTATGATTAAGTGACTGGTGGTGCATATATCTTAATATTTTTTGTAAATTTGTAGATGGCTTTGCATTTTTTTGACCACCTTTTGCCATGCAGCAGCAGGTATTGGATTAGTTTGTTATTTTTGAAAAGTATTTAATGAGTAAATTTATCTCGGAGGGGGACTCCACTTGATATGTCTCATTGTTTAATTTTTATCTCTGGAAGGGGCCTGGATACCACCGTGATGAGTGCAATATGAGAACCTGACTAGAACAGAACACCAGTTTTACGGGGTTAATTTTACTAAGGTGACGTCAGAGTAAGATTCCCACTTTAGGCAAAAAGCTACAGTATGATACCTGAGAGCTAAGAGATACAAGGTGAGTGAGGTAATGTCTTTTACTGGACTAACTTCTGTTGATGAGAGAGACAAGCGTTTGAGCCACACACAGCCCTTCTTCAGGGCCCAACACCGCTAAAACTACAGTACATACCTGTGAGCTAATGCATTGTAATATGGGAGGGGTATTCAAGATGCACATGCAGTACACATATAGCCAGATATATTTTTTTTCCCTAAAGGAATTTCAGCTTTCACCAGAATGCTTATGCTCATAAAATCCAGTATGAAACTGATGTAGAACACATGGGAGTGGGTGGTAGGGTATTTTACCCTGTGTATTTTAAGAGTTTTTGTTGCACCATACAGTGAGATCACCTTGCATTCTGTCACAATAGAGACTGTTTCAAAAACAAAGATGCTCCTACCTTAATTCCGCCTTTAGTCTTCTTAACACTTTTCTTTTTTGATAATTCTACCTCAGAGATGGACTTTGGTGGACAGGGACTTTCTGCTGATCTCCTATTGGTAGCTGAGGGAATCAATAGAAACTAACATTAGAAAACTTGTGCTAGCATGCCTAAATCCTAGTTTCTATTGAAATCAATGGGAAAAGTTCCAATGACTTCCCCTGGGGACTAAGATCTGGCCTTTAGTAAACTGGGCAACAGCAAGTAGTTTTAGCTTCCAGCATTATGCATAGTATTAGGGGGAATAAATCAGAGCATTGTCTTAGGTGAGCTGTTAATAATTGTAAAAGCACAAGAATAAAAACACCTGACTTAACTATCTACACACAACAGGACTGCTAGTCAGTTCCAGTCACCAGAGAATTCCCAACTATTTTAAGAGTTATTTTTGGCATGGAAGTGGAGGGGAATCTTGTTCAACTGGGTACAGTAGAATTGGTCCCAAAAAGAAGACCTGAATACTTTAACAGGTTTTCAGTGCTTAGCAGTAAGACAATTTGTTTTCTTTTGCATTCAAAGTACAGTAACTCCTCGCTTAATGTTGTAGTTATGTTCCTGAAAAATGCGACTTCAAGCAAAATGATGTTATGTGAATATAATTTCCCCATAAATATTAATGGGGGGGGGTTAGGTTCCAGGGAAACTTTCACCAGACAAAAGATTATAGTGTGTGTGTGTACACACATACACAATATAAGTTTTAAACAAACAATTTAATACTGTACAGAGCAATGATGATTGTGAAGTTTGGTTGAGGTTGTGAAGTCAGAGGGTGGGATATTTCCTGGGAACTGCTTTACTGCTAAATGACGAACTAGTACTTGGCTGAGCCCTCAAGGGTTAACACATTACAAAGCAGCACAAATGGAGGGAGGGGAGACAGCATGGCAGACAGAAACACACACTGTGTGAGGAGAGAGAGAGATGCACATTGCCCCTTTAAGTACGCTGACCGCACTCTAAGCACATTGCCTTTTTAAGTAGATCAGCAAGTTGAGGCAGCAGCTGCTGCCAGCAAGCTCCCTCTGTCCTGAGCCCTGTCCAGTCTCGTCCCCCCCGCCCCCCCTCGCTCTATGGAAATGGGGTAAGCAGGGGGGAGGGGGACACCCTGACATTAGCCCTCCTCTTTTCCTCCCGTACAGCAAGTAGGAGGATCCCAGGAGCAGCTCCCAGGAAGCAGGGGGAGGGACAGCTGAACTGCCGGCAATTGATAGCCTGCTGGGCAGCTGACACCAGGGAACTTAGGGGGGCTGCAGGTCCACCCTGGTTCCAAGCCCCCACCAACTCGCTCCAACGGGCTGTTCTTTCTGCAAGCAGTGGGCAAAGCAAGCAGCAGCCAAACAACATTATAAAGGAGCACTGCACAACTTTAAATGAGCATGTTCGCTAATTGATCAACAACGAAACAACGTTAATCGGGATGACTGTAAGTGAGGAGTTACTGTACATATGCACTACTGAATGACCGCAGTTACCACAGCTGCTATGTCAATCAAAATGTATTTCTTTTACCGTGCACTTGGAAAAAACACGGTTTAGTGGAGTGGAAATTGTGGTCTCTAAACACTGAGCATTTAGCAGTTTGACAAGAGACTCTGTTCATAGAATCATAGAATATCCGGGTTGGAAGGGACCTAGTCCAACCCCCTGCTCAAAGCAGGACCAATCCCCAATTAAATCATCCCAGCCAGGGCTTTGTCAAGCCTGACCTTAAAAACTTCTAAGGAAGGAGATTCTACCACCTCCCTAGGTAACGCATTCCAGTGTTTCACCACCCTCCTAGTGAAAAAGCTTTGTCCTAATATCTAACCTAAACCTCCCCCACTGCAACTTGAGACCATTACTCCTTGTCCTGTTCTCTTCTACCACTGAGAATAGTCTAGAACCATCCTCTCTGGAACCACCTCTCAGGTAGTTGAAAGCAGCTATCAAATCCCCCCTCATTCTTCTCTTCTGCAGACTAAACAATCCCAGTTCCCTCAGCCTCTCCTCATAAGTCATGTGTTCCAGACCCCTAATCATTTTGTTGCTCTTCGCTGGACTCTCTCCAATTTATCCACATCCTTCTTGTAGTGTGGGGCCCAAAACTGGACACAGTACTCCAGATGAGGCCTCACCAATGTCAAATAGAACGATCACGTCCCTCGATCTGCTCGCTATGCCCCTACTTCTACATCCCAAAATGCCATTGGCTTTCTTGGCAACAAGGGCACACTGCTGACTCATATCCAGCTTCTCGTCCACTGTCACCCCTAGGTCCTTTTCCACAGAACTGCTGCCTAGCCATTCGGTCCCTAGTCTGTAGCTGTGCATTGGGTTCTTCTGTCCTAAGTGCAGGACCCTGCACTTATCCTTATTGAACCTCATCCGATTTCTTTTGGCCCAATCCTCCAATTTGTCTAGGTCCCTCTGTATCCTATCCCTGCCCTCCAGCGTATTCACCACTCCTCCCAGTTTAGTATCATCCGCAAATTTGCTGAGAGTGCAATCCACACCATCCTCCAGATCATTTATGAAGATATTGAACAAAACCGGCCCCAGGACCGACCCCTGGGGCACTCCACTTGACACCGGCTGCCAACTAGACATGGAGCCATTGATCACTACCCGTTGAGTCCGACAATCTAGCCAACTTTCTACCCACCTTATAGTGCATTCATCCAGCCCATACTTCTTTAACTTGCTGACAAGAATACTGTGGGAGACCATGTCAAAAGCTTTGCTAAAGTCAAGAAACAATATATCCACTGCTTTCCCTTCATCCACAGAACCAGTAATCTCATCATAGAAGGCGATTAGATTCGTCAGGCATGACCTTCCCTTGGTGAATCCATGCTGACTGTTCCTGATCACTTTCCTCTCATGTAAGTGCTTCAAGATTGATTCTTTGAGGACCTGCTCCATGATTTTTCCGGGGACTGAGGCGAGGCTGACTGGCCTGTAGTTCCCAGGATCCTCCTTCTTCCCTTTTTTAAAGATTGGCACTACATTAGCCTTTTTCCAGTCATCCGGGACTTCCCCCGTTTGCCACGAGTTTTCAAAGATAATGGCCAATGGCTCTGCAATCACAGCCGCCAATTCCTTCAGCACTCTCGGATGCAACTCGTCCGGCCCCATGGACTTGTGCACGTCCAGCTTTTCTAAATAGTCCCTAATCACCTCTTTCTCCACAGAGGGCTGGCCATCTACTCCCCATGTTGTGATGCCCAGCGCAGCAGTCTGGGAGCTGTCCTTGTTAGTGAAGACAGAGGCAAAAAAAGCATTGAGCACATTAGCTTTTTCCACATCCTCTGTCACTAGGTTGCCTCCCTCATTCAGTAAGGGGCCCACACTTTCCTTGGCTTTCTTCTTGTTGCCAACATACCTGAAGAAACCCTTCTTGTTACTCTTGACATCTCTTGCTAGCTGCAGCTCCAGGTGCGATTTGGCCCTCCTGATTTCATTCCTACATGCCCGAGCAATATTTTTATACTCTTCCCTGGTCATATGTCCAACCTTCCACTTCTTGTAAGCTTCTTTTTTATGTTTAAGATCCGCTAGGATTTCACCATTAAGCCAAGCTGGTCGCCTGCCATATTTACTATTCTTTCGACTCATCGGGATGGTTTGTCCCTGTAACCTCAACAGGGATTCCTTGAAATACAGCCAGCTCTCCTGGACTCCTTTCCCCTTCATGTTAGTCCCCCAGGGGATCCTACCCCTCCGTTTCCTGAGGGAGTCGAAGTCTGCTTTCCTGAAGTCCAGGGTCCGTATCCTGCTGCTTACCTTTCTTCCCTGTGTCAAGATCCTGAACTCAACCAACTCATGGTCACTGCCTCCCAGATTCCTGTCCACTTTTGCTTCCCCCACTAATTCTTCCCTGTTTGTGAGCAGCAGGTCAAGAAAAGCTCCCCCCCTCGTTGGCTCGTCTAGCACTTGCACCAGGAAATTGTCCCCTATGCTTTCCAAAAACTTCCTGTGGTGTTAAGCTGCTTTAGTTTGGCTCACAGTGAGTGAAGCTGCCAATGAGCCAACTGATGCAAGGGGCAAATCATCAGCAGCCCTTGAACTGTCTCTCCTCTGGCTGCCATCCAAAAGACATCGTGTTAGAATGTGCTGAGGGAAGGAGATTCCCTAATACACATGACCCCAGCATGCAATTATTCCTGTAGTTTAATAGTAATAAAATAAAACTAGACAAAGAAGTAACTGATTTGTCGCATAGCAAATGAAAGTACATTTAAAAATGTAAGGTAAACGTTAGTCATGTTTATCCTTGATCAGCACATTGATAAAGGCATAGTTATATGTACTGTTAGAAATAAATCTGGATATCAGATGAAATGCTTCAAGCAGGTCTGTGTCAGGCGGCAAAGGCCAAACTTGCTCCTATTCTATTATGCAGCCCTTTTATTGTTTGTTCTGGGGAAATTTCTAGTTAATTCACCTGAAGTCCATCAGAAAAAATAAAAGCCATTTTTTTTTTTGATGTATTCACTAATTCTGAGCGCCTCCATATGTGGGTTCTCAGAAATGAAACTAATTATGCATCATGCCTGTAGGCCTGGCTTGACATCCATACTTAAGCAGGAGGCCTAGTTTCTTGGACAACAGGATTAGGGAGGTACCTAGGTCAGCAGGCCAAAACTGGAATGTTTGTGCTAAGATAAGTAAAGGGGTCAGTAAGCTAAAAGACAGAATGCCTGAGCTAGCTAAAATAAGAACACCTCCCAGGGAACCATTTACAGTACTAAGAAGATAACAATGGGCAAGAGAAGCTGGGGGCGTAAAGATGAGATAAAGAGTAAAGCCGAACATGCACAGCCTATGGACAGAGCATGATATACAGGGAGTGGTTCTTGCAAAGTAACCAAGCCAATCCCAAAACATGCGATGCAATATATACAGAAACCCCCTTTCTTTGTATAACTTTGGATGTGGGGTCTATACCCTGTTCCCACCACTACGTTTGAGGTTGATCAACTGAACATAGCTCTGATATATGCCAAATAAAGGAAACTGAATGATGAGACAGGAGTCTAACTGAGTTCTGGGGGAACCAAGTGGAAAAGGTCTTAGAGGC